GTCCTCCCGACATGAAAGCTGCTGTACCAATCTAATTTGTTGCTGTTGTTGTCGTTGATATCATTCTGTTAAGGCGATACATAAAATCCAAGAATTTGTATTATTATTATCATAAAAACAGACAAATTTACACTTTTTTTTCTCGATTTCCAACACTTTATTGCAATCGAAGCCATCTCAGTGAGTGGAGTAAAGTACATCACAGTAAGAATTAGCTGGAGGTGATTCCAGAGCAAATACCAATACAGCAGTAAAGCCAGTGTGCGCCGCGCATACGTTGCATAATATATGCATCAGCCAGATCACACTGAGCACAGTGACAGGCAAGCGGCATAAAAGCAAGTCACAGTCAATTATCACACGGGAAGGCGGAACATGAACGTCTGATGTGATGGTTATCATACGGGGTGGAGGGGACTCGTGATGAGGCACGGAATATTACAAGAATATTATGTAATATTACAGATAATGAATTATTATATTAATTCAATTATAATAATCAATGTCATTACAATATTAGCATGTAATTATATTAATACAAAATAATATTAATGTTCGCCCACAAAATATACAGTCAATTCGCTTTGCAGTATATTCCGTGAAGCGCTTTGAGATGTCTCGCAGACATGATAAGGCGCTATATCAAATGCAAGGATTATTATTATAATAATATGATAATCATCACATAATACATATATTATTCATAACACATTAATAATTAATAATACAGACACGTCAATAATAATATTATGCAATTATTGGAATATCACACTGCACTGCGTGAAGGGATCTGTATAAATGCAAGTTGTTGCATTTATTTTCTGATGTGATAATTATCAAGGCAGGGTTCAAAGACATGTTTTAACCCCATTTTCTGCCTGATAATCTGATAATTATCACTTCCCACACTGCATTTTAGCCCCTCCGGCCCCAATTCCAAAGGAATATTCCACAAAACTGTGTGTGGAAACTGTCTCTGGAGTTCACAAGAAAACGAAATATAAAACATGGAAATGCTACACTGGTTATATAGAGCGCCAGTCAGGCCTCAGTTGCAGGACTGGGTTCAGTTCAGGACATACGTTCTTAGGAAGAACACATTAGCCCTTGTTCAGTGTTCAGTGACAGTTCACTGGGTTAATAGCAAAATCTTAGCTCCAGTGAGAGGTTGGATGAATTTGTGCTGTATTCCCTGGAAGTGAGATGTTTATTGGGATGATGTGCTTGAGTAGTTACATTACAATGCAATACATATTACTGTCCAATACAGTTCACATTTATACAGAGCCTTTCACATCAGGAGGATGTCTCAAAGCTTACTCAAAGCAGTTCTGAATGGGCAGCCAAGATAAGGGAGTTTAAAGCAAGCTCCATGTGTGAACTGCTGCAGCAGAATCATGGAATATTACAGCACAGAAGGGGGCCATTCGGCCCATCGTGTCAGCTCTTAGAGTTACCACTCGTCCCAATTCACTTTACAGTATATTGTGTGAAGAGCTTTGAGACGTCTCAGCGACGTGATAGGGTGCTATATCAAATGCAAGGATTATTAATAGGTTATTATCTGTTATCTGGACCAGGCCAGAGGATTCTGAGCCAATGGACTCTGGATATGGAGAACCCCTTCTCAGCCATCGCATCTGGAAAAAATAGAAATATCAAAGAAAAAGAAAAATAATTTGAAGCCTGGTGTAGGGCTCACGTTTTAGTGTTAAAAACGCACTATTTTAAGTGTTAAAAAAATGGAGGCCACTGAGAGCTGAAAAGGAAGAAACCACTTACCTCGAAGGGTGTTCTGTCACCTAGTGGTTAATAGTGGGAGCAATGTGGCTAAAGGAATGTTGCAGATATTCTCCTCCAGTAAGGTTCTGAAGTGTGAAACACAGGAAGAGTAATCCAGAACAGTTCTGGTCACCCCAACATAAGACTAAGGCTCCTAGAGATAGTGCAGAGGAGAGCTCCCAGTGTTAGAGGAATGAGCTGTGAGCAATGATCAGACAAGCTCGGGCTCTTCAGTCTTGAGAGAAGATGCCTCAGAGGAGACCTCATCGAGGTGTGTAATATTTTAAATGGGATTGAAAAGCAAATCCAGATCATTAGTTGAAGATGCACCAAGACAGGAGAACAAGAGGAAGCAGGTGTAGAGGTGTAAAGGGCAATTTCAGGACAGACACCAGGAAGTGTGTCTTTACCCAGAGGGTAATTAATGACTGGAACAGGCTTACCAGGTGGGGTAGTTGGGCTAGGACGCTTGGACTCATTTAAAAATGAGTCTTGATGCTGTGATGGGGGTACAGTAAGGTGGGTATTCTGGAGGGAGGAGATCAGATGGGCCGAAGGGCTTTCTTCATCCAAATCGATCTTGTGATCTTCAGTACAAGACACTTTGCTTTCAGTGAATCAGCTGCAAATTCTTCACAAGACATTTCAAACCCGTCACACCGAGTGCGTGACATTTTCTGGTAAAACACACTGGGTCACACACACACAAAGCTATGAGTTTCATTCAGGAGAAGTTGTTCCTTTACTTCCTCTTCGACCGTGCCTACTGTCACCTACCCTCACTCCCTGGTTCGGAGTCAGGCTCTGCCACTGATAAGCGCTCCGAAACGCTAACCCAAATGAAGGGTGTTGCGTAAATGCAACTGGTTCTTGTGGTTGTTGCTGTTGTTCCTTGTTCCCATCGTTGAAAAGTTAAGGAAATTTTGGTCCATTCGTTCAAGGAATCAAATGCTTGAAATTGGTGGCACTTTTTCAGCTTGCTGTTGTTTACTAGTCAGCATCCCTTTGACGCATCATAAACCTCCCACTACAATGCCTCTCTATCCCCACTTAAGAATAAGGACACCCCCCCACACCACCACCATTTGCCTCATTTCTCTCTTGCCTCTGAGTCAGACGATTGTGGGTTTACACCTGATGTCGGGACTTGTGCTCATATAGTCTAAGCTGACACCCCAGTGCTGGGGTGGTGTTGAATTGCCAGAGATGCCGTCCTTTGGACACTTTAACTGAGGTCCCATCTGCCTGTTCAGGTGGACGTTAAAGATCCCATGGCACTGTTTGAAAAGAGAAGAGAGTTTCCCTCTCCCGGTATCCTGGCCAACAATCCCCCAAATAAAATTGGTCAATCACTCCATGGCTATTTGTGGGACATTGTTGTGCACAAATTGTTTGCAGTGTGTTCGCCCATAAGTACAAAGTCCCTGCACATCACAATAAATCCTGTGAAGCACTTTGGAACATTCTCCCAATATGAAAACTGCTATACCAAAACCAAGGATTATTATTATTCATATTTTCCCTCTCCCTTCCCTCTGTAAGTGAAAAAGATGAAGAAAAGTGAAGTGTTTTCAGACGTCCTCCTGTTGTATTGGATTGTGTTACACTTTTGTTTCAGGTCAGCTTGACGCAGATGGAAACCCATCAACATGCTTAAGCGTATCCAAACCGAACTGCGAATTCCATGCATCCCATCCACACATGGAGATTCCCCTGTGTCTGTAGTGGAAGACGTTATTACATGGGAGATGTCTGTGCTGGGAAACAGGAAATTAGGGTACAATTTGCAGCATTTAATAACTGTTGCCGACATTAATTTGTCACTAGGTGGCAGCAGTCCCCTTGCCCCCTGGCTGCAGTGTTTTGCCCATAAAATACACAGTCAATCCACTTTACAATATATTCTGTGAAGCGCTTTAAGGCGTCTCAATGACATGATAAGGTGCCATATCAAATACAAGGATTATTATTATTATTCCTATCAAGGTGTGAGGAGTTTCAATTTGTTGCAGCGTAAACATATACAGGCCAGAAGCCATCCTCCTCTCCCCCTCCATCTCGCCTCCTCTCTAGCTGCCTTCAAGTCTCATCTGAAAACCTGCTGCAATGTTGGAACTGCCATCCTTCGGAGGAGATACTAAACCTGAAGTCCCATCTATGCCTATCCACATGGATGTTACAGATCCCTAACTGCTGTTGGAAAAGAGAAGGGAGTTTCTCTCCATGTCGTCCTGGCCAAACAATGCCCCAGATAAATAAATCACGTAGTCATTTTACTGCTGTGTGTGTGGGGGTACTTGAAGTTCACAAGAAAGCTGCCGTGCATTTGCCAACAAACACACACTCACTGTGCTTGACTTCACATGTGTCAGCCTGGCTCAGTCGGTAGCACTCGGGCCTCTGTCTCAGTTTTTGAGATCACTGTCGAGGCTGGCGCTCCAGGGCTGTATTATGAGGAGTACTGTATTGTTGGAGGTGTCATCCTTCCTGAGGCACTTATCCGAGGTCCCATCCGTGCCTGTTCAGGTGGACGTTAAAGATCCCGCGGCACTATTTGGAAAGAGAAGGGAGTTTCTCTCTCTGGCCAACAATCCCCAGAAAAAAATCAGTCATTCACTTCATGGCTGTTTGTGGGACGTTGCTGTGCACAAATTGACTGACATCTGTAAGCATTCACTTACAGGTTACAGTCACTACACTTTGCAGTAAAATCCTGTGAAGCGCTTTGAGCTGTCCTCCCTTCTATTGGGTACGAGTGCTGTATTAAAATCAAGGATTGTTTACTGTCACTATAAAACATACTCACACAAAGATCTGATCCAGTCCCACCTTATCACGTTGTTGGGACATCTCAAAGGGCTTCACAGGATTTTACTGTAAAGTACGATGACTGCATTTTCTCGGAAGGTGTGGCAGCCGGTTTGCACATAAACAGCCACAAAATGAGTGACCAATTTTATTTGGGGGATTGTTGAGCAGGACACGAGGAGAGAAAAAAATTCACTTTTCGAATAGCATTGCGGGATCTTTAACGTCCACCTGAACAGATAGAGACAGGACCTCAGTTTAACATCTCATCTGAAGGACGGCGCCTCTGATAAAGCAACACCTCCCCGTTCTGAATCCTGACGTGGGGGATTGAACCCACAATTTTCTGACTCAGAGGGGAGAGTGCAAATGCCTGAGGCTGATGCACAGTGAGGTGGGTGTTTGCTGGTTATGGGGAGAGGGTTGAAGAGCGGAGGGGAGGGGAGGCGGTATTTTAGGCAGCTGATTCCTGCTTGAAGCTGTGTCCGTTGGCCAGGCTGGAGTTGGTGACGGTGTTGCGAAGGTTACTCCTGACGGAGGTCATCCTCAGGGCAGAGGTGCTCTGGAAATAGCTGGTGGAACGCGGTAATCCGCTCTGCCCCTGGCACCGCAGGTGGGTGTTAAAGTGCCTGCGGAAGCTCTCGCTCAGCAAGTAGAGGGCAAAGGGGTTCACGCAGGAGTTGCAGAAGCTGAGGATGCGACCAATTACTGTGACAATCAGGTGCCCGAGAGAGGGGTCGATCTGGCCATAGTGGAAGGAACGGTACATGTAGAGCACGTGGTTGGGGAACCAGCACAAGGCAAAGAGGCCCACAAACACCAGCACGATCTTGGCCAGGCGTTTCCTCGTCCCCATCTGAAAGCAGGGAGTGGAGAGAGGAATAAATAATAACAGTAATAATCCTTGTATTTGATACAGTGCCTCATCCCGTCGTTGAGATGTCTCAAAGCAATTCACAGGATATCCTGTTGCTTCAACCCACGACTGTTTGTGGGACGTTGCTGTGTGCAATTGGCTGCCGCGTTTCGCCCACAAATATACTGTCAATTTATTTACAGTTTATTCTGTGAAGCGCTTTGGGACGTCCTCCGGACGTGAAAAGCGCTATATCAAATGCAACGATTATTATTATTATTATTAAAGCGCTATATCAAATGCGAGGATTATTATTATATTATTATATATGGTAAAGCGATTTGACTGTGTACTTTGTGGCCAAAACGCGGCAGCCAATTGCGCACAGCAGTGTCTGACAAACAGTCGTGGGTTGAGTGACCAAATTATTATTACCCCCAGAAACCAATCCTCCAATCGACTAACAATCCACCAATCGACTAACAACTAAATAATGGGTTAAGACAGTGAAATATCTTGGGCAAATATTATATTATAAGTATATTGTTCGAAAAAAGGATAAATCATATGCAAATCATGAGTAAATATTGGGTTAATCATGCACTAGGACACTGCAAGTAAGAATGCTGATTGGACTAACTAGCTAGCAAGCTAACTAACTAACTGACTAACTAACTAACTAACTAACTAACTAACTAACTAACTAACTAACTAACTAACTAACTAATTAACTAACTAACTAACTAACTAACTAACTAACTAACTAACTAACTAACTAACTAACTAACTAACTAACTAACTAACTAAGTAACTAACTAACTAACTAACTAACTAACTAACGTCCGTGCCGTGGGACATCCTCCCAATGTAAAAGGCTCTATACACATATAAATTTTCTTGTTGTTGACTGACGAACTAAAACCCCCTAGTCTCAAACCCCTCCCTCCCTCCCTCCCTCCGCGCTCCCCCCACCAGCCCCCCACCACCTCCCAACTTGCCTGTTTCTTGGCGTGCTCACTGCTCTCTCCCGGCATGTTGTGGGCGCTCTGCATCAGGCTGTGGGCGATGTGGCAGTAGTAGACACTGATGACACTGAGTGGCACAAGGTAATAGACCAGGAAGATCAGCACGGCGTGGACCTTGGGGTGGGTTTTGTTGGTGAGCGGGTAGGGCACACAGGCCGTGAAGCTGTCGTTATCCCCAATGTGGTGCTGAACCACCTCAGAGAACACAGCCTCTGGCACAGCCAACAGCACCGAGACCAACCAGATAGTCACCGCCTTCAGGCATGTGTGGAGCACAGCGTTGGACGACTGGACATCCATCGGGTTCACGATTGCTTTGTATCTACAATGGCAAGAAAACCCCACATCTAATAATAATCCTCGCAATTGATATAGCGCCTTATCACGTCTTCGAGATGTCTCAAAGCGCTTCACAGAATCTACTGTAAAGTGAATTGACTGTATCCTTGTGACCGAAACACGGCAGCCAATTGTCCCACAAACAGTCGTGGATTGAGTGACCAAATTATTATTATTATTTTTACTTATTTATTTTTTTGAAGGGATTATTACACCCAGAAAGCAACCTGCCAATCGACTACTGCTAAGTAAACAGAGGTGTGCGGAGATGGGAAACTTGCCTAGCGTTTCGGCCTGCCCGGGAAACAAACCCAGGGTCTCTCGCTTGTGAGGCGAGTACTGTAACCACTGCATTACAGTGCTCCACAGGACTTGTAAATCCAGATTTGCAAAGATTACCAAAGAATGCACAGCACGGAAATAAGAATGTACGAATTGCTACATGAAAAAAGACCGATGTCAATTCAATTCGCCTTCCACCATTATAGCATGTCCCAAACTATATACTGTAACCTGAGATATTATTTCCTAAAATAAATCTAATTTGCTTTTGAAAGAATCAACACTTTCTGTTTCCACCACTTCCCTAGGGAACCTGTTCCGTACATTTACCACTCGCTCACTGAAGTAGTGTTTCCGAAGATTTGTTCTGAATTTACTCCCACCTTCAATCACAGGCCGTGTCTAAGAACAAATGAATTGTGAGATGAGAGATAGGTCACTCAATCCAACCAGTTATACTCCACACTAGTCTTCATCCATTCCTTACCTCCTCCCACACCCTTCTATTCCCCTCTCCCTCATGTGAAGGTCCAGCTTCCTCTTGAATACATCTACACTATCTGATTCAGCCACCACTTCAGGCAGCGAGTTCCACAATCTCACCGAGAGAGAGCGCATTCGATTCCAACAATCTATCTCTGGGATTTCCATGTGTAGGTGGGATGCACAGAATTCTCAGTTTGGTTTGGATAATCTTAAGCGTTGCTGATGGGTGTGTCAGGCACACGGCTGACCCCCCCCACCATCAATAAGATGGGAGTTTAAGCAGGATTTGGAAAGCCTGTCAGATCTCAGGGGCTCGATGAGCGCAAACTTCCTTCAGCTGAACGTTGACAAGATGGAAGCCATACTCTTTATCATAGAATCGTAGAATCATAGAATTGTACAGCACAAAAAGAGGCCATTCGGCCCATCGAGTCTGTGCCGGCTCTTTGAAATAGAGCAATTAATGTCAATCCCACTCCCAGCCCTTTCCCCACAACCCTGCAAACCCGTCCTCCTCAAATACCGTCCACCGCGTTTTTAAAAGTAGTTATCTAATCGACCTGGTCAACGTCTAAAATCACATGGTTCTAACCTCCGCCAGCTACCCGACCTCCCCCTAAAACTCTCCGAACCCATACGCAACCTAGGTGTCAGGTTCAACCCTCAATTATCCTTCCTCCCTCACATCCGGTCCGTCACCAGCACCGCTTTCTTCCACCTCCGACGCATTGCCCGTCTCCGCCAACTCCTCACTCCAAAAGCCACTGAAACCCTGGTCCTCTCGGCTGGACTATTCAAATGCCCTCCTCGCTGGTCTCCCCTCCACTACCATTCACAGAATTCAGGTCATATAAAACTCTGCTACACGCATTCTTACCTGCAACAAACTATGTTCCCTGCTTATCCCAGTCCTTGCCAGACTGCACTGGCTGCCTGTCCCAGAGAAGATCGACTTCAAGATCTTCACTCTTGTCTTCAAATCCCTCCAATCCTCTGCACCCCCCAACCTCTCTGACCTCCTCTCAAAAAAAAAATGCCCGTTGCCTTCGCTCCACCGGGTCTGGCCTCCTCATTGTCCCCCAAGTCCTCCGTTCCACCATCGGTGGCTGTGCCTTCAGCCACTATGCCCCGAGGCTCTGGGACTCCCTTCCTCACATCCTCGCTTCACGCCCTCTCTTCCTATTTTCAGGTCTTGGCTGAAGACCTTTCTTTTTGACCGCGCCTTTGGTCACTTTCCTCCCCCTCCCCCTGGCTTGGCCCTGGGATCCATTACTGTGAAGCGCTCTGAGATGCCGTCTGTCGTGGAGGGCACTATATAAATCCAAGTTGTTGTTGTTGTTTTTGCCAGATGGTTTCACAGTGGCTTTTTCTGATCTTGTGTATTTTTCTCTTCCTACGTGTGATTGACATAGGAGCTACAGAATCTTGTTCTTGATTGACATAGGAGCTACAGAATGCCAAAATTAGTCTCAATATTAGCCACACACAACCAGAGCCAAACTCAATCCAGCACAATCACACACACAAAATGTTGTTCTCTCCTTGACTGGGCCCATTGCCAAAATAATGCTGCCAACACTGTTAAACAAGGGCCTTAGAAATAACAGCACAGGTGCTTGCTCCCCCACTGCAGTCCCATTCCCCTGCTCTTTCCCCGTCGGGTCTGTGCTGGGATAATAATAGCAATAATAATAATAATTGCAATTGATACAGCAAGTTTCGTTTCAGGAGGACGTCTCACAGTGTTTCATAGGATTCACTGTAAACTGCAGTAAGCAACTCAGCAGCCAATTTGCACGCAACAATGTCCCACAAACAGCCATGGAGTGAGTGACCAATTTTATTTGGGGGATTGTTGGCCAGGGCATCAGGAGAGAGAAACTCGCTTCTCTTTTCCAATAGTGCCACAGGATCTTTAACATCCACCTGAACAGGCACAGGCGGGACCTCGGTTTAGTGTCTCAACCAAAGGACGGCACATCTGACAATGCAGCACTCCCCCAGCAGCTTAGATGTCGGGGCTTGAAGCCACAGTCTTGTACTTCCAAGGTGAGAGTGCTACAAGGCTGACATCTGACAGTGAGTGTAGAGCACTATAGAGCTTGAGTATATCACCTCAGCCTTTCCCTTTAGATAGTAAAGATGTTTATTCTAGCTTTGCCTCATTGACTCATGGTTGATGACAATCAATAGTGCGCTTATCATTTTATTTCCCTAAAGTGTTGGAGAGATGTCTCATTAGTCTGTCTCGGGCAAAAGAAAGAGAAACAATTTGCTGAAGTCAAACGGTTGGCTGAGTCAGGGTTGAATTTACGTTGGGGGCAAACAGAATGGGTGGTAGTGATTAATGAGAGTGTTCCACGCGTGGTATGCACAGTTTCTATCTGAAACAGGTAATTAAATCTCCTTGCACGAGTTGTCTGAGTGTCTGAGGTAGGTTAAACAGGGATCATGTCTTTGTTTTCTTGCCCGAGAGCACTTTGTGTCTTGATGGCCACCCCTGGGAGCCTGGTGCTGGGGAATTCACAGCTAGGAAGGAGGCCATTCAGGTAAAATCGTGCCTGAAAGATCGTTCACTCCGCCTTGCCCCCTCCTTCCCCATCTTCAGGTCACGCCTGAAGGTCTTCCTCTTCGACTGTGCCTAGGGTCACCTCCTCCTCCCCCCAGCTCGGCGCCATGCTCCGGCACTGTTAAGCGCTCTGAGATGCTACCCTGCGTGAGGGTATCTCTGGGACATTTGACAGAGCGCCTTTCACGTCGTTCAGTTGTTTCAAAGGCTTCACAGAATATACTGTAAATGGGTGCCTGATATGGGGGAATTCACAGCGATGATGGAGGCCATTTGGCCCATTGTGTCTGAAAGAGCTCTCTGTGGGGCTTAGCGGGTGGTGGGGCTTAGGGGTGGGGATTGGGGGCATGAATGGGATTGGGCTAGGATATGGGGCTATGTGGGGTTGGAGCAAAGTGGCGTGAGGCTGAGTGGGGAGGGGCTTAGGCAGGGAATATAGGAACATAAGAACAGGAGTAGGCCATTTAGCCCCTCGAGCCTGTTCTGCCATTCCATTAGATCATGGCTAATCTGTACCTTAACTCCAATTAAACAACAACAACAACAACAAAATTACATTTATATAGCGCCTTTCACACCTTGCTCAGTATGGGGCTGACCCGGGGGTGGGGCTGTGCGTGTGTATACATCTAATAATAATAATAATCCTTGCATTTGATTTTGTGCTTTTCACGTCGGGAGGACGTCCCAAAGCGCTTCACAGAACACACTGTAAAGTATATATTTGTGGGCGAACGCGGCAGCCAATTGCGCACAGCAATGTCCCAAAAACAGTCGTAGATTGAAAATGACCAATTTATTATTGTTTTTGGTTTTGGAGGGATTATTATTAGGCTCTGTGTGGAGTAAGGAAACTTGCCCAAGGTTTCGCCCTCTGCCTGGAATTGAACCCAGGTCTCTCACTTGCAAAGCGAGTGCTCTAACCACTGAGCTGCAGGACTAGCCCTGATAAAAGGGATACTGAGATTTGTTGTAATTGGCAGTGTTAGCAGGGATCCCAGCCCCTTTAGTCAAACATAAATGAAGGGTAAACAATGAAATATATCCCCCGAGCAGGCGGGACAGTGATGTGGTACAGGAATTCCGCAATAACACACAGATTCATAGTCACAGTCAACAGTACACAGTCTGGGACTCCCTCTGTCGCCTTCATGACACCTCCTATCTCAGTTTCTCTCTCAACCCTCTCTTCTCCAGTCTCTCTATTCCCAACACACACAAGGCAAAGCTCAATCAAAGCTCCAACGCCCACATCCTCAACCGCACCAAACTCCGAGATCCCACCCCACCACCCTCGCCCGGCTCCACTGGCTCCCCATCCCTTTGGATGGAACTCAAAATCCTCGTCCTCACTTTCACCTCCAAAGCCTTGCCCTCCTACGTCTCTGTCCTGCTGATTCTCTATCAACCTGTCCACTCCCTGCGCTCAGCGAGCTCCGGCCTGCTCCAGGTGTCCCACCAACCCGCCCTACCATCGGCGGCCGGGCTTTCAGTCTCTCTGCCCCCACCCTTTGGAACTCCATCCCACAATCCTTTTGCCTCGCTCCCTCTCCTGCCTCCTTCAAGCATGACTCAAGACCCTCCTTTTCAACCATGCCTTCAGCCGCTCTGCTACCCCCTCTGCCCTCCCTCATCCCAACTCTGCC